CTGCAAAAATTAGGGCAAAAATTAGGACAACCTCATGTAAAATAAGCTTGATTGCCGCAGTGCTAAGTATTTTTTTACACTTGAAAACACAATGGACCCAATGACGGATAGATCCGTCACGCTCACCCGGCAAACGTAGCCTATGACGGATAAATACTTCATGAGCAGTGAAAGTGTTAAGATAAACTTTTTAAATTTTCATTACCCTTTTAATGAAATTAAAATTTATATTTTTGAAATTAAAATTAAATGGAAAAAAATGTCAAAACGTCAGGGTATGAAATGCATCTGTGCTTTCAGTACACGCCACTGATATCCCCAGGGAAATCAATTGTTAAATTTAAACTTCATAATAAAATTTAAACTTTATAATTTTAAAAAATAATTTTAAAATTACATAATATTAAAACTTAATATACCAGAAGTCTTAAAATTTAAATATGTTTTATTCACTTTTTCATTTTGACATTTTCGGGAACAATATAATTTTTTCAGAGCTAAAGAATTCAAATGAAAAGCCTTAGAGACAAAAGCAAAATTAGCGTTGCAGTTACAAAGTGACTGAGAAAATTTTCAAAGGAAAAATATAATAAGTGGCTTTAGTCCTGCGGTTTTCTTATTTAAGTGCATTTCTCAAAACAAATACAATATTTTTTAATCTTAATGCTGAATCAAAATCCACAACATAAAGTACCTACTTTTAGTTTAAAGTATGCTTTCTTGTTTTTAGGTTTTTAAAAGCTTAAAAATACATTGTGACTAACAAAATTTAAGTTTATTTTGATTACATTAACTCGCGGCCAATTTTTGTAACATAAGTGGTCGCGCGGTGCACTGAGTGCTCTGCTCCTTATAATGGCTATATTGCTGAATGTTTTCAATTTTAATATTACTTTTGGTTATATTCGGATGAATAAACTCTATTTCTATTTAAACACAATATTTATTAAAAAAAAAACAAAAAGCAAATAATAAAAAAAAACAAAAAGTTATTACTTCTTCTCAGAAAAGAATAAATCAGAAGGAAATTTTTATTTGTGAATTCTTAAAAACCATTATGTTTAAAATTCTATATTTTGTTGATTTAAAAACATTTTTCATTACAAAAATTGAAATTTAGTTACGTTTTAGTGAAGTATTTCTAAATCAATCTAAAGCTTTCTGTCCATAACTTTGGAATAAATAGTTTAAACCGAATATGCTGTCGACAGTGCATGGTAGCCACATCAGTCATAGATTACATGGAAAGGGCATTTAATTCCAAAAAAACGACAAAAAGTTATAGAGGTTTTAATAAAAACGGAGCACTTGGTGCACCTCCGCGACTAGTTAAGGGTTAATATTTATAAATTGACAAAATTGATATTAATAAACTCTCTTTAAATTTTAATCAATTTGCTAATGGTTAATACATTACAAAATTATTCAATGGTTTTCTCTAAGCTTTGACTGGCTAATGAAATTTTGCTCCTAAAAACTTTGTACGGGCTCTTAGTTCCCGAAAGTATCTTATTAAAGGTAGTTTTTACCTATAACACAGGTTGCATTTCAATTTGAAAGTTTTTCCTTTAAATATAAAGGACCTAATCCAATAAGTTTCAAAGAGAATATATAAAGAAGTTTGCGTATTAAACTTCACGAATACATGATTAATTATAGTGAGTTCCTTTGGGAATATCCCTAAGAATTTAATTTTATAAGATAATTTCAGTCAAAGCGTAAATGGTAAGTTTTTAATTAAATTTTGTATAATACAATAAATATAAGGTTAAATAATTAAATAATTTGTTTTAAAATTAGAAACGTTTAAACTTTTCTATAAAAAAATGTTTTTTACTCCCACCTTTATAACGCCCATTATCGTACATGTATCTATAACACTAAGTGACCTTTTAAATACACATTGACAAGTTGTGGCTTTATGGCTTTAAGTTAGTTGACAGTTGTCAAATGTCATGCAATTTTTAAAATAAAGTTCCTTTCTTGTAAAATAATACCAAATGTAAAAATTATTTTATTATCTTAATACAAAGTATTAAATAGTTTTACAACGGCAATATTCGAAAATTTTATATGAACATTGTACTGACCTTTTAATTTCGCCGGCAGTAAACTATAATTAACTTAATTTCTGGTGGAAACTCCACCGTGAAGTTCCCATAAAATATTGTCTTCACTTTTACTGTGAAAAAACCGTTGTTAGTCCATATTCAAGGAATACATTTTAATTTACACTTAAAAAATTTACATTTTCATCATTAAACATATTCCTAAATTAGTTACCCTATTGTTTTATAGATGTCGCTCAATACAAATATTTAATTTAATTCATTTTTAGATAATAATAAGTATTTGTTGTAGAAAATGTATAGTATGCAATTCGTTTATAAACTTTTCTAGATATATATTTAATTAAACACTCGCTCGCAAGATCGCTCGTGCCTAATTTAATTATTCGTGAATAAAATGGCGTTTATCAAAATTGTTACAGAATAAACTATGAATAAATAAAATATATAATATACCTAATATCGATGACGTATCGTAAGCAACCTAACCCAAATTTCGGGAATTGAAAACATTTTGCTTGTCTGTTTAAAATTAAATATAGCCTAAAGGTTTTATAATAGTTAAATAGTTAGCTTATAATTATAGCTATTTACTTGTTATAAAACCTGTAGGTTATATTTTGTTTAAAACAGACTTTAAAACAAAAATGTTTTTAATTCCCGAAATTTTAGTTATGTTGCTTGCGATACTTTGGCAGGAAGTCATCGATATAAATAAAATTAATAATCAATAATAATAATCAATAACACTGTAGGTAAATTTTCAACTTTTGAAATATCACAGCTAAACGCTCGGACACGTAAACATAATTTTTGGTCGTAGATTCCAAATCCGTGCTCGGTTTAGTTGTATAAGGTCTAAAAAAGTTTTTCCTGTCGGAAATCCGATCCGGGGACACACTGTATAGTGGTATATTATAATTTGTTTAATAATATATTTCACCTCTTGTGCCAACATTCTTATGCTTTTTATTTTAAATTTGGAACTGATCTGTGAGTCCAACCAAATTGATTTTTTTTTTAATTTATACAGGGTGTTTAAATTTATACAGGGTGTTTTCAATATCTTTGAATTTTCACCTGGATTTGTAATCTACGACCAAAAATTAAGTTTACATGTTCAAGCGTTTATTTGTGATATTTTCACCTCCCTACAGTGTAATAAGATATGTAAATATACATTTTTTGGCATATAAACTGCTCGTCATAAAAATCGACGCACCTAGTTTTTTGGAAAATATTTGAAAGCTCGTTATTAGAAAATTACTGAATCGATTTTAAAAATCTTTGGAAATTCTGAATAGCTGATTCTTTGACTCTTATGTCTAATTTTGGGAATACGATATTTTGCACATAGCATTATACTACAGGGTGTTAAACGAAGAGATGTATTTTTTCCGAAATTTCAAGTTATTCCCATTCATGAGGCAGTTGAGTTTGATAGTCGTAATACCCCTCCCTAATATAAGTAAGGTAATCCCTCGGAACGTTTTCGAGATATTGTGAATATCGCGGCTTACTACGATTATATGCCAATTTTTCGAAAATTGTCGTTATTTCCAGTTTGGTCCAAAAAATGAGCAATTGTGGATTCTTTAACTTACGTCTAATTGTAAGAATACGATATTGTGCACATAGCATTATACTACAGGGTGTTAAAAAAAGGGATGTTTATTTCAAAAATTTCAAATCCCCATTCACAGGACAGTTGAGCTTGATAGTCGTAATACCCCTTTCTAATAACAGTTAGGTTATCCCTCGGGACATTTTCGAGATTTTGTGGATATCTTGGCTAACTACGATTATATGAGAATTTTTCGAAAATTCACGTTATTCTTCATTTTAGTCCAAAAAATAAGCAATATTTGATTCTTTGACTCTTATGTATAATTTTGGAAATACGATATTGTGCACATAGCATGATACTACAGGGTGTTAAAAAAAGAGATGTTTTTTTCCAAAATTCCAAATCCCCATTCACAGGGCAGTTAAGCTTGATAGTCCTAATACCCCTTTCTAATAAAAGTTAGGTAATCCCTCGGGACGTTTTAGAGATTTTGTGGATATCTTGGCTAACTACGATTATATAGCAATGTTTCGAAAATTGACGTTATTCTACACTTAATTCCCAAAAATAAGCAAACTACTAAAGGTATCGATCAACACATCGTTTCCCCAATTTGCAATTTCTTGTGCCCATCTTCTTCTAGCAGAAAAAGAGGGCAGGCAGCTCTTCGTCTTGCGTGGTATGCAACCTTACATACGTCATTTTTTTTTAAATGTGTTTTACTGTTTGAAAAATGTTTTCATATTCGATGACAAGAACAATTGAAGGGAGGAAACTCAAAACCAGATATGAGCCATATTTTTTAAACTTTCATAGTCAACCGTTTGTAGAAAATTGCATGAATATAGCCTGCATAAGTTTACGAGAATAATTTTGTTTGGTTTGCGTTTTTATTTTGAATAACACCGAAAAAAATTGCTTTTGTGTGAAACATTTCACTTTTAATGAATCACGGAAGCACGTGACCTACCTTAAAACGCTGTGTTGATACCTTCTGAAGTTTGCTCATTTTTGGGGCTTAAGTGAAGAATAACGTGAATTTTCGAAAAATTGCCATATAATCGTAGCTATCCAAGATATCCACCAAATCTCGAAAATGTCCCGAGGGATTACCTACTGTTATTAGGAAGGCACACTGTCCCTCAACATCGATAAACGGTCATAAAAGTGACTCCCAAATCTGACTATAGGATTTTGTTAAGAATTGTTTCCTCTTTATAAAAAGATAAAAAAGTAAATCTCAGCTGATCGTTTTCACGAGAAAAATGGATTTTTTGTTTTTTTTGCCTCAAAAATTATATTTTTGTTGATTAACAGATAAATATTTTAGTTTTTTCCATAAAAACATCGTAATTTTAAAGGACATGGTTATAACCATATGGAAGAAAAATCAGGTAGGCTATGGTGAAACAAAAACCGTTGCGTGGTAATAAAAAATAAATGTTTCGCGTCAAACTGCTGTCAAACAAGCAGTTTTATTTAAACTTTAAAAAATATGAATCATTCCAACAACAGATACAAAGTTTGTGCTGCCTGTGGCCTTAAAATTAAGTTTGGAAAATCTAAGCCTTTTAAATTTAAAATTTCTAAGAGTTGTTGTGCATTAATCAAACAATATATCTGTAGTGATTTCGATCTGAATGACGAAAGGTATCCAACATCGATATGTGTGACATGCAAGTTGGCTTTATTGGTAAGAAAACTAGGTATAGCTTTTCTGCGAGCGTGCGCAAATAGCTACTTTGTACACTTAACTTGGAAGTTTGCAATTTTTCTTCAAAATTACTTTCTTTTTATACACGATTTTTAAACGTTTTAATAAGAAAAAAGTTTTACATATTTTGGGTTATATTTTAGGAGAGACAAAAAGATGGTGTATTTCGTAGACCCTTACTACCAATGCCGGAATTCCACAAACTGGATTTAAGAAAAACTTTGCGAAGCGGAAAACCCTGCACATGCTTGATTTGCAGCGAAGCACGTAAAAAAGGTCACAAAAAAGTTTTTTCCGGAAGGGGAAACAGTAGAGTTCTTAGTAAAGATGTTGTACTAAAGAAAAAAAAATGTATATGCGCAACATGCTTGCAAGAAATTGGAAAGGGAAAAAAACATTATTGTCATTTATCTAATATTGCACATAACGTTTCGGACCTTGTACAAGCAGTGCCGAAAAACCAGAAACAACAGATTGTAAGCAAAATAATACATGAATATGTTGAAACTAATAACCAATCAAGTATTGGACTAGCAACACTGGGCAGACCTTCTAGAATTGCTATAAACCCACCACCCCATGCCCAGAAGGAAATAAAGTTTAGTTACGAAAAGCTTAGTCAATTTCAAAAGACAACATGCTTATCGAATAATAAAATGGAGTTAGTTACAAATTTTGTTAGGACCTGCGCCGGCAAAAAGTCCGTTTCTTCCAATTTTAGAGAGAAATTACGCGAAGAGTCCAAAACTTTAGAACCATTTTATAAATGTGCTGAGTTAGAGTTTGACGTAAGTGACTGTAAAGAAAAGCAGAAAAGGAAAGTGATATATGCTGATGCAGAAAGTATTCTAGAGGCTGTGATTACGCACAGACAGTTGATAGGAAGTCCAAAAATTAAGGTCATGGCTGACGGTGGACAAGGCTTTTTTAAAATATGTCTTTCTGTGTTTCAAAGTGAAGATGAAACTAAAGTAGGAAGATCTGTTTATAGTGAAGGTGGTAAAATTTCAAAAGGGTTTAAGTTTACGGGCGTCAAAAAAATTCTGATTCTTTGTATTGTACCTGAAATCCAAGAAACATTTGAAAATTTAAAATTACTGTTTTCCGTTATAAAAATTAACAATATTTCGTTCAAATTTGTTTCGGACCTCAAAGTTACATTAATTGTTAATGGATTGCAAACCGCATCTTCTACATTTCCGTGTCCCTACTGCTACGTGAAACTAAAACATTCAGTTGGAAATGAAGCTAGTACTTTAAGAACTTACGGAGACATAAAATTGCATTATGAGAAGTTTTGTCTATTCGAAAAAAATAGGAAATACGCGAAAGACTGCTTTAGTGTAGTAAATCATTCAATATTTGATGAAGAAGGCGACGTTTCGGTGTTGGAAAAATGTGTGATACCAGAACTTTGCAAGGATTTGTGAACCATTTGTTTTTTAAGGGGTTGGTCCCACTATTGGGAAAAGATGTGGCTTTTATTTGGCCAAAAAAATTGAATATTGTTTCAAAGAATTATCATGGCGAGCTATTCGAAGGAAATGCTTGTAAAAGTTTGCTAAATGCTGCAGATAAACTGTATGATAAAGAAATTTTAAATTTGGTTCCAGCAGTCAAAATTACACCTTTTGTAGAATCCCTGAAAGCAATGAATAAGGTGGTTGCACATTGTTTTTCATCTACAATCACTGATCAACATGGGCTTAAAAACCTATTAATGCACCTCGAAAAAGTTTTTAAAGCCACTGAGCTTTCTGAAACTCTCAAAATTCATATTTTATTTAATCATCTTATAAAAGGCTTAGACAGTTTGGAAGGAGATGGACTTGGAGTATGGTCGGAGCAAGCAATTGAGTCTGTACATAGAGAGTTTTTAATATATTGGTCTAAATATAAATTAAACGATCTTGATGATCCCCGATATGGTAGAAACCTATTAAAATGTGTAGTAGAATTTTCTTCAAGACATTTGTAAAACTGGTATTTCTTTACTTTTTTTAAATACTTTATTATACATATTTGTTACATTTTTGTTCAGTTAACTTGGTAGGTAGTTTAAATTTTTGTCATTAAGTAAAATTATTGTTTAGATTTAAGTTGTTCAAAAATACATTTTTATCTATATAAATTATGTTTTTGAAATGACTTACTGATACAAATAATCTTGCTCTTTTATAAAAAAGGATATACAATGTATATGTATATTATGTATATTAGGATATACAATATATATGTATATTATAATATACATATATATGTATACATCATTTACAAAATGGATAAAACATCTTATCTTAAGTAAAAAAAATTGAAGATCAGCTGAGATTTAGTTTTTTTTCACAATATATTGAGGAAACGGTTCTTAACAAAATCCCAAAGTCAAATTTGGGAGTCACTTTTATGACCGTTTTTCGATGTTGAGGGACAGTGTGAAGGGGTATTAGGACTATCAAGCTCAACTGCGCTGTGAATGGGGATTTGAAATTTTTGAAAAAAAAACATCTCTTTTTTTTTAACACCCTGTAGTATAATGCTATGTACACAATATCTTATTCTCAAAATTAGATGGAAGTCAAAGAATCCACTATTGCTCATTTTTTGGACAATTTTCGAAAAATTGGCATATAATCTTAGTTAGCCTCGATATTTACAAAATTTCTAAAACGTTCCGAGGGATTACCTTACTTATATTAGGGAGGGGTATTACGACTATCAAACTCAACTGCCTCATAAATAGGAATAACTTGAAATTTCGGTAAAAATACATTTCTTCGTTTAACACCCTGTAGTATAATGCTATGTGCAAAATATCGTATCTCCAAAGTTAGACATAAGAGTCAAAAAATCAGCTATTCAGGATTTCCAAAGATTTTCAAAATCGATTCAGTAATTTTCCAATAACGAGCTTTCAAATATTTTCCAAAAAACTATGTGCGTCGATTTTTATGACGAGCAGTTTACTTATGAAACATGTATATTTAAACAAAAGCTACTTTTTTCTATGGTCCATGGAAGTTTCTTATGTCAATATAACTGCAATTATTAAGTGCCTAATAATATAATTTTTCGAATTACATCTTCCGAACTTCGCAGACAAAGAAGATCGTTTCGACGAACACATTTCGGAAATTTATTTTCATTGTGTCTGCTGATGCACAATCTTTTAAAATGAAATTAAAGAAAGATAAAAATATTTTTAAACTTAAAATTATACAAATTAAATTTGTGCAGCTAAGATTTAAAAGGTTTATGATTTAAAGAAATGTCATGGGCTCGATCCATCTCAAATCACCCAGGCCATTTATGTCGAAAAATTTTTTTTCGGCGATACTTTCAGAAATGGTTGTTTAAACTATTTCAGAAAACACATATTTTTTGTTTTTGCTCTTAAAGTCAGCGTTTTCGAAAAATTTAATTTTTTCTCTGAGCGCACAAATGCGGATCTAGTTAGCCATCACCGTTCCAGGCAACACTAGTTTAATAAATAGCGATAAATAGTTATATATATTTAATATTTTTGTCATAATTTTGGTTTAAATATAATTTCAAGAGTCTTTCAATTCTTTTCTTATACTGCTAATTTAACTTCTTTGCTTATCCTAAATATAATTTTATTTCCACACCCTGAACATACTTTTCGTCTATTTTCTTCATGACTTACCTTAGATGCTGGTTTACTTTTCGTGTTTAAATAATTATTTTATTAATTGACTAGCTGACTAACAACGATAATTTATGAGGGACACAAAACCTGTCAAAACTATTTATTAAACAAATGTGTTACCTAGCAACGGTGATGGCTAACTAGATCTTTTTATTTACTCCTCGTTAGCAATTAAATGTAAAAAAACTCGTGGCGATATTATTGCGTGAGCGTGTACGTTAACTGAACACACATTACTTCGATACTTAATTTATTTAAGGGCCCTGCTTTTTTTAAATACATAGTTTTATTAATAAATAGACCATTTTCTGTCATCCTTTCCTTTTTTATTTGTAAAATATGCTTTCGGCGATTAATGTGCAAAAACAATAAAGTATTAAACATTTTGTAATTAAAAAAAATCATATCTCGAAAAAAAACGAATTTTAGCATATTGACTTTATACATATTGTTGTTCATACATCACACATTGATATAAAAAATTATCAAAAAAAAAAAAAATGTGGCATTATCAAAAAAAATTTTTTTGAAAAAAAAATTATTTTTTACTTAATTAACAATTTTAAAAAAAATTATGCGCAAAATTTTTTTTCTTCAATGTACTTCGTAGATTGAACAATTACCTACAAATTAAAAAAAAATTTTAGCATATTGACTTTATACATATTGTTGTTCATACATCACACATTGATATAAAAAATTATCAAAAAAAAAAAAAATGTGGCATTATCAAAAAAAATTTTTTTGAAAAAAAAATTATTTTTTACTTAATTAACAATTTTAAAAAAAATTATGCGCAAAATTTTTTTTCTTCAATGTACTTCGTAGATTGAACAATTACCTACAAATTAAAAAAAAATCCATGCATTTTTACAAAAGTTATAAGCGTTCGCAAAAAAGTTGTTTATGGGGAAAATTAAAAATCCGCATTTGTGCGCTCAGAGAAAAAATTAAATTTTTCGAAAACGCTGACTTTAAGAGCAAAAACAAAAAATATACATGTGTTTTCTGAAATAGTTTAAACAACCATTTCTGAAAGTATCGCCGAAAAAAAAATTTTCTACATAAATGGCCTGGGTGATTTGAGATGGATCGAGCCCATGACATTAAAGAAATATAAAAATTCGGTCTGCTTTGAGCTAAAAATGTTTTAAATTATTTGTCTAGTTATAACTATATACACCCCAAGTAATAAAACAAATATAACACTACGGCAAATGTTATATTAAATTACGACAAATAAATAAAATGAACACACTAATAAAGCTCATTAATTTAGTAACCCAAGGTACTTTAAAGGTGTTGTATTCATAGGGAAAGTATTAAAAGAGAAATAATAAATACAGTAAATAAAAGGCAATAAATCACGTTTGAACTCAGGTCAAACACCTGGAAGGCTCCCGTTTATTTTTATATAAATATCGCTTAAAAAACCTTCCAAAATGAGGGATTATGGGAGAGAGTTAAACGTATATAACATTTAAAATTTATAACAAACAATAAGGGAATTTATTTGGACAAAGCAACAACAATAACCGTAACCCAAATGACATTTAATTTATTTTCTGAAAGAAAGGGACATCTTACAAACCCTTAAAACCACACAATCTCTCCTTACTGCGACCACAACCCACATATAATATAAATAAATAAATATATAAATACCACTAAGTAGAGAATTCTAAGCTCTCGGTTTGATGCTCCTCGTTTTAATTTTTAGTTTGTTTTTTGTTTGTTTGCTTGTTGGTTGGATAAAAGTAGATTGAGTCTTAGTCTCTATTTTTGTATTTTAAATTTAACTTTATTCATAAAGTATTCCTTTTGCATTAGGCCTCCATCATCTAAATAAAGTTTTTATAATTAATTACTGTTGAATTTAAGTTTACTGTTACATAATTTTTCATGTAATATTTATTAGAGTTCAGGCTCAATCGATGCAAATGAGTAAATAAATTATCGGGCTCGAGATCGCTTCAACTGAGAGTTCGCAATTGTCTATTACGCCTCATTTGTCGGCAAACTTTAATAAATTAATAATTACCATAAAATACTAGGTAATCAAAATGACACCAAATAACAAAAACAATGTCTGCGTCACGCAGTCAGATGAAACCAGACCGGCCGGCACCAAATAAAATTTACAGGATAGTAATTCGAAATGTGCTTTTTATATCAGGACTCCACGGACAGTGGTGATAAATTAAATGTCGCTATCGCACAGTTACTGTTGCTACTCACTCCAAATGTAATACCAAATAATTTAATATGACTGGAAAAATCACTTAAATAGTTACGGGACATAAATGTGAATCTGCGAGTACAAGTTAATAAATCCCGTATTCAAGAAACTCTATATCAATTACACTTAATTTACAAAGCGTTTATGGTAAATCCGCTTTAAGAAATATTTATTAAAATAATTAAATAAAATCAAATACAACCCTGACATTTAGCTAGATAAAATCCAGTACACCCTGACCTTTTAATTAGATAAAATCAAATAGAACCCTGCCCTTTTAATTAGATAGAATCAAATACAACCCTGCCCTTTTTAATTAGATAAAATCAAGTACCAATTGATTATTATTTAGAATCTAAAATATACTTCGAGATGGTTCAAACGTAAATTTATATCATTCCGATTACAAACGTGGTTTATTTACAACGGCAGCCATCATGGAGGAATAGACCGATCGATGACGCCAAGTTTAATGATCGAATATTTAGCTTTAC